GGTGTCTGGATTCACGTCTGCTACTTTAATTAAATTAACAGCTGACTTTTAATTTCAATCAGACGTGTACATGTAGTACGAGATTACAATGTCTACAATGTCTTCCTGTTAACGGAATACAATTTTCTGATATTCTAGGCCCACTCCATGGTAGTATTGTATATACACTACGTTTCAACAATTAAGTCTTTGCTTAATTGTTCATTTTCCCCGTTAAGTTTAATCCAAGTATTAAATACCTGGATATGACAAAATATGACACATTTGGTACTGCTTGATCATCTATGTGGATAAGCAATTGCTGTCTTGGTACCTATAAGTCCCCCCTGGAAAATCATATGAGATCTACGAATAGTGGCTACCAAGAGAGAAACTATATGGTGTCCAGCAGGAGAACATACTAATGGTATCCATCAAGAGAATCTACTTATGGTGTCCACCAAGAGAGTAAAGCAATCGGTCAAGGTTCCTCAAAACCCTTGGACTAAATGGTGACTACCAGGAGAACCATCTTAAGATGTCCATCGAGAGAATCTACTCATTCAAATATTCTTTGGTCATCGGCCTATTGAAATATACCTAATAAAAAAAAATATAAGATACGTTTTAAGCCTAACCGTTAAAACCTTTGCCAAAATTTCGAGTAAGGTTGTTCTATACCTTCCACATACAATGACCTCAAAATTAGAACTTTCAGGACCCCCTCCACTTTATGACCCGAGGCTTCAGAATCGAGAGTAATAAACTAATATATAGGTAAAGTGTGGTAATAGTATCACACCTGTATGATATTAGTAAACCACGAATTGTCGAGTATCGTGTGAAGGTAACTCAAGAGTACGTGACTAGTCTAGAACTAGGCTAATAATATCAGACTGAAGATTGCAGGAAACGGTATAATACACAACAGTAACAGGTTGCTTCTCGGCATTACTGTAATTTTTACAAGGCTAGCAGGAACTGTACGGATCTTTTCTGCATATTCTACCAACACAGGTAAGAAGATAGGCACAGTGGCGCAACTGGATGAGCTGGGGCCTTTCCCCGGGTTAATTTATTTTTCCAACATGCTCTCCGGCATTTTTTCTGGAGGTGAGGCCCATGGACTTGGTTCAACTGGTCCCTATGGTTGTTGAGCCACTGGGCTGGCTTCTTGTAGACCTCTACTTTTATGATTTGTACTATTGGGGCATTGCTATCTTGCAAGTGATATTCCTGGATGTCCTTAGTGATTGTGCTTATTTGTCGGTTGGGAACAAGGTAACCTACCGTAGGTTGAGGGTGAGATAATATTGTAATACTATTTTGATATTAACCATGAGTTGATAATAACTAATGATATTTATTAATAAGGTGAAAGTAAACTAATAGATAGATTAAAATATTTCACATTCATCTGTCAATCACCAGTCTATTTTGATAACCTCATTGATAAATAGTTTGTGATTTATTTATGATTTTACTCTTATATTTTAGTTGTTAAAGATTTGAAATACATTTCAGAGCAAGGCTCAGTTAAAATTCAATATTCTTATTATTAGCCCCTTAAAGATCATATTTAAAAATTATTTCATATATAAGTACATGTTTCAGGTTTACTTCTGGTTGGGTGTCAGAATTTTGTTACTGTATTTTAATGTGTATCATGGTGAAGATATTTCACACCAATATGATATCTACTTATTTAATAATCTAACATCATCAATGACTGGTACAATTTCTATTATAATCTTCTAAAACTACAGTTTATCAGGCTTTCAAAGTTTAATATTGGGTCATTTTTTAGAAGAAGATTTTTAAATTTAAAATTTTTCAAATAGGATTTACTGGAATCAGCAAATTAGGTCTTTCATGTGTTTAAGGACTCTCTTATGCAAACATTTCTCTTAAGGCATGCTTAATATTTAGATGGATTTCTGCAACTTTATAATCACCTTATACTTTCTGTTGTTCCTTTAACTAATTGGCTATATTACTATCATATATACTGGCTATCTGTTTGTCATGGCAATGAACATGAATTGGCCCCACCATATTTCATTTCATCTAATTATTTCATTTCATTTCATTCTCAATATTACTATGTTAAAGTAAGTTTAGATACAGTCTATATTATCTCATACTGAGATAATCTTACCAGACCAGAAATTTTTTAACATCATTTTTTTGTAGCAATATGTTAGTTAAGAGATAAAAATTTTGTTTAGTTTTTAGAGCAGGGCTGATAACAGGCATGTTTACTACATATACTGGTATCTTGTCTGAGAATTATATCATATCAAGGTGATTTCAATAAAATCTTCTGAGTAAAAAGATTTTGGAAGATGAAAAATGAAAAAGAATATTTAAGGTGGCATTTCTTTTATCATTAAAATTTGTATATCTTAATTAGTATAGTATATTGCTTCCTAATCTGAGAATTATGTCACGTTCAGTGGCGTATTTAGGGCGTAATTTTTTGGTCATGCACCCCACCCCCCTTCGGGCCATCTAAAATCGCGTTAAATGTATTCACCGGCTTCCCACCATGACTAGTTCCCTAGGAATGCAAGGGAGTGTCATGATTGCATGATTGTGTTATTTAATGTTAATTTTACCAATTTATATCACATCAAAGTTAAACTTACAAACAGTATTATTCTTTATTCCCATTTTAGAGTATATTCAATTACAATCAGTGGTTACAATGTCCAACCAGTGGTTACAATGTCCAACCAGTGGTTACAATGCCCAACCAGTTGTTACAATGCCCAACCAGTGGTTACAATGCCCAACCAGTGGTTACAATGCCCTACCAGTGGTTACAATGTCCAACCAGTGGTTACAATGCCCAACCAGTGGTTACAACGTCCAACAAGTGGTTACAACGTCCAACCAGTGGTTACAATGTCCAACCAGTGGTTACAATGTCCAACCAGTGTTGTTTCTGTGAGGTGGCCAAAGAATTGCCAAGAACAGCTAATAGGCAATTCTTTCTTAAAGTTAAATGATAGTAATTTGAAAATAAGAGCGTAAGGGCATAGCCAGGGCAGCCTCTTTTCTGCCCCCTCACCATTGTTTAAACACCACTGTACCCACTATTTAAAATAAAGAAGATAAACTAAATTAGTAATATGAGAAAAAGAGCAGCAGTATAAATAAATGAGGTGTTGAAAATCATTTTCTCGTTTAAATTTTCTAATTATCTTAAAATCAACATTATAACATTCAGGTGGCAGATTCTACTTAATGTTAATATCATACTGCAGTTTAAAGATCTTAAACATTTATCAATGAATGGAATGAAGTTTAAGCCTACGTCCTACTCTTCTGCACCTAACGGGGCTAATGATGTGGCAGTGTGCCATGAGGGAAATTTTACAAGAACAGCAGTAATAACCTAATTCTTTTTTGATATCTAACTGTTGAGGGACGTTCACAGCCTGTAGTGCAGTCCCAGTGTGTAGTTTATTGTCCCATCTGAACGTCTAGTATGCTTTTTATATGTCAGCCCCTACAACCTGCTGTCTTCAGGTGTACACAATCATCTTTTCTCACAAACTATTTTATTTGTGATATCCTTAATTATTATTATTTTGAAACATTGAAATTTTTTGGAAAACCTAAAAAAAAGTCTTTGAAACAAAACACAATATTGCTTGCCTTTTGAAGAGTGGCGGCTGCATTTGAGGAACAGGGAGAATGGTTTGCACCCTGATTGATTGTACCCCTCCCCCCCCCCCTTATATTTCTAACAAATTTATAAATATGATTTGTATACTTTTGTTTGCCCCAAAATAAATTCAATGTTGGTAGACCCTCTCAGATGCTCCATGTGACACTTCCATAGTGTTGATGCATTTTGAAATTGAAAACAGTAGTCAAAGAAATACTGGAGAAAACAAGCATGAAATTAGTGAATGAATGAAATGAATAAGGAATGGTATCTTTAAATCAGTTGTTTACTGGGGCTCAGTGCCAAGTCTTGCCAATATCAGGCTGGAATCTTTCTCAGAATGCCTTTCAATTCTACCTTCATACCTTGACATTTAGTAGACCTTCCTTTAACTTCATTCTAGAATATTGTGATTGGGACTTCTATTACAGACACAGATAGCCTGGTAAGGTAACATATTAATAATACAATATTTAGTTTTTAGAGCAGGGCTGATAACAGGCATGTTTACTACATATACTGGTATCTTGTCTGAGAATTATATCATATGTCATAAGTATAATATTATTATGTCCATTAGTCAAATCTATTCATTTGAATTCATTAATATTAACCTTTTAGATAGCTTGGTCTGAATTTTTCAAAGTCCTTAATCAGTTTTTTAGAATTTGTAGGGTGGTCTACCTGTCAACCTAGTGGTTGAACTAGCAGTTATTAACAGACTTGGATGGGGTATTACTATTAGTCATATTTCCTAAACTTGAAAGCTAATTGCGGTTGAGAGGATGAAATCTTGTTTAATTTCAGTAACATTTCATTAATTTACCTCCTTGATTAAAGAGATTGTAAAGAGGTTTTCTAAAATTTGTATGTGTATCAGAGACATTGATATCATCAAGTATCACAATTCCAATATTCAGTTAAAGGTCTGTGGTTCTGCAATTCCATTAAAAGTAAGCGTTTTTTAATGTCACTATCGCAAAAGCTGCTATTATATTATATCAGGACTTTTGTGATAGTGAAATAATAGAACGCATAGCTTCAGTGGAATTGCAGAAACCACGGACGTCTGATTGAAAATCGGAATGATGTAAGTCGATACTATCAGTGTCCCCGATACACATAAAAAATTTAGAAATCCTCTTTACAATCCCTTCTTAAATTACAAAAAACTTTTTTATATTTCATATGAATCATGATTTACAGGTCTGTTATGAATTTTTTAAGTATATAGTTATTATTTAATTGGTTATTAGTGATACTTAATTAGAGATGTTAAACTTATCCCTTTTTCTATTTTCAGAAATAATTCAAAATGAATGGAAGAAAAAATGGTTCGAATCATGTGGTACTGTATGTCAAAGCCGGAATGGATGGGGAGTGTTATGGAGCTTGTCCTTTCTGTCAACGATTTTACATGGTGTTAGATCTGAAAGCTAAGGGCGAATCTCTTACGTATAATATCAATACAGTAAATATGGCCCGACCTGCTCCTGAATTTAAACAATACGCCAATAGATTACCTGTGTTTAAACATGGAGATGAAATCTTGATTGATTCTGACGAAACTGTGCAGTATATTGATGAGAATTTTCTCAAACCCGATTTACGTTATGATAACATCGAAGCTCATTCTCAATGTCTGGACATTTTCTCTAAGTTTTCATTTTTTATCAAAAATGTGAGTAGTACAGCAGACGGACTTCTAAACGAAATTAAAATAATCAATGATTTTCTCGCGAAATCACAAACAAAGTATCTAGCTGGAGATAACATATCTCATCTCGACTGCCTCATGATGCCTAAATTACAACATATAAGAATTGCTGCCGAAGCCTTCAAAGATTTCCATATTCCCAGGAAATTTACACATTTTTGGCGGTACATGGAAACAGCATATAGTAATGACACTTTCCGGAAAACATGTCCGTCTGATCAAGAAATAGTTTATCATTGGAGTTCCAAAAGGGAGACTACTCCATTGCCTGAGAAGAAAAAGAGATTTTATACGAAAGACACTGAACCTAAGTTCACCCTATCAATACCTCATTGAATGAAACTTTTCTATATTTTGTGCCAAAAATTGAACAAAACTGCATGCAATATAAACTGTACAAGTTTTGTTATCACCAGATGATATCAAACAACAGTTAGAGTTTACCTCATTGATGGTACTATTTTAATTACTGTATGCAATATTGATTAACATTTACTTAGTTGATATACCGTTTCAATCTCTGAAATGAAGAGTGAACATGTATTGCCTTTCTTGCAACTATTAACAACCATCTTCTAATCTTGGAATAAATTTCACACTTATCTAACTTGAGATTTACAATGTGTTGCTGGGATTGAATCTTGTAATACATTATAATCAAGTCAATTTTTACAGTGTAAAGGCATGCAGTGGGATATTGAGCTTGTCCTGTGAAAATAACCACAATTCTAATGGACATTTATTTACCATTATTGCTGCCAAGTTGTTGTGAAAATTGTTCTATTATTTTTGGGTTCAATCGTTATGTATTTGGAAGTATTCCAGTCAAAGCACTAAAGTGAATATAGCATGTTAAAAGCCAATATAGAATAGACAGTTTTAGTGTTTATGTACATATTGTTTACAAATTAGATCTGAATGGAATACAGCCAAATAATGTTTTGAAATTGCCAGAATTTTTGCATGTTGAAAATCAGCAAACAATATACATGTATAACTGATTATATGTTTCTGTAACAAACTGGACTACTGCTTACAGCCATGGAGCACAGAAAATAGGAATAGTGCTGCCTATTTCCTTGCTTACAGCTGGTACTTGAACAAGTAATGAAATCTCATAAGGATGAATCTATCAATTAGACATTAAGTTATTTCAGCCAATGGAAAGAATACGTAGAACACCTTTTCATATTAGGCAATAGGGGGTGAAAGCCGACTCTCAGAAGTACTCGCACAGGCATCTGAATTTTTCTTACCTATGGCAGACGACAATTCATATTATGGTTGTCCTCAGCACACATATAGTTTGCACGTGATTGGCCATGTGCTATCTAAATACAAGGTTTACCGCCTACAGTGAAACACGGTAGACTTGCCCAAAGTATTTCTGATTTTTAAAATTTTAAGATTATTATATAAGAGTTTCTAGTCATAATAAAACAAGTGAGAAATGAGATTGTGAAGACAAAATATGTTTTGTATTGATCATATATTACTGTTTTTTATCAAATAATACAATTATTATATTAATTAATTTGTTTTGAATTTATCGGCTCATTGACAAGAAAAATTTTCATTGTATCTGTTCATTTTGTGATCTAGTCAGACATGATCGGTAGTCAGTAAAGGCTCTATATGATAAAGCATATTTCACAATCAAACACTTAGTTTCATTAGCATTACAGGAACCACAGAGGTCTGATAGAAAATTTGAATGGTGAAAATTGATGCTATCAGTGTCCCTGTTACATATACAAATATTTAGAAAACTTCTTTACAATCCCTTTAAGGCATTCCAGGTTGACCTACAGAAACATTTAACAAGGATTTATAATGTAACTTTTAAACTGTATCAGTGGAACATAGAAATGGCATCCTACAAGTTTTCTTAGTATGTAGTAGACTTACTAGTAAGTAAGAGTAATATTGGTAGCATATGTTCTAACCTTACTCAAGGTTACCTTATAACAGGTAGTTTAATATATAGGTCATATATTATTACGACTATACAATATTTACTATCAGTATATCATTATAATTTCTGTTAATACCTTCATGGTCATTATCAATCTGCTTAATTCCTACAATGATTTTTTAGTAGGTCAAAAAAATTCATAAAAACTTTACACCAAAATATAGAGAAAAGTGTCCCTGGACCCAAAACTTGTTAAGCTGCTTACACAACAACTAGTACATTTTGTTTTTAATTGACCCTTTTTAAAACAAATTCAGTTTAATCAAGTAGATACATAGACGAAAATAGCACATTTTTAAATTATTTTCAAGTATCATTTTTTTGCATACTGCCTCTTTAAGTTCTGTTTCAATATTGCTTATGTCTAAATCTTGATATGGACAGACAGAATAACAGAGTTGGTAAAAAAAATATAGAATTTTCATACAATCATTTTTATTTGAATTATTTGTGACTAGATAATAAACAAATATTAAAAGACATAAAATTTATATTTGATTGAGATAAATAATTAATACTCAATACATCAAAAACAACAAAAATTCAATCAAATAAATTGAAATTACCAGTATCTAAAAAAAAATTCCAAATCATTATCACTTCAGATTATGTCTTTGAACTTTTTTTTTTTAAACAAAAAGTTTATAAATCAAATAATGTTTATCAAAAATCAACAATGTAAGTGTAAATATTCTCTAAACAAATATAGGGAACTTGCCCCTTTAATTTCATCAACAAACAAAAATAACAATATATATTCTTTAAATGACATTTAGAAGTATCAAATTAAAGTAAGGAGTAGTATATACATAATAGTATTATATATTTGAACAATATATATATGGGTATATCAAAATGCAATAATTATACCAAACAAACGATTTTGTCAATAAAATAAAAAATCTTCGAATTCCCTCTAATGCTATTTTAATTTCTATCGACGTTTCTTCTATGTATACCAATATCGATAACACTACTGGTTTAACGGCAGTTCGTAAAGCTTTTAATAGAAACCCAGATCCAAACAGACCCGACGATGCAATTCTACAGCTTTTAGAGATTTGTCTTAGTCGAAACGATTTCACATTTAATGGTAAAACATATTTACAAACTTCAGGGACAGCAATGGGCAAACGATTCGTCCCTTCGTACGCAAACCTTTTCATGGCAGAGTGGGAACGTGAGGTGTTGCCCCTCTGTCCATTTGACCCACTTTTTTACGGACGCTTTTTGGATGACATTTTTATGGTTTGGACTTATTCTATCGAACAGTTTTGGGAATTCTTTGAAATTCTCAACAACCACCATCCTTCTATCAAACTAACCGCAAACGTGAGTGACAAAAGCATAGACTTTCTCGATACCACTGTCTTTAAGGGAGATTCCATAGCAGAAACAAATAAACTGGATATTAAAGTGTATTTCAAAGAAACTGATACTCATCAACTCTTGCACAAGAGCTCCTTTCACCCAAAACATACCTTTTCTGGTATAATTAAGTCACAAGTTTTACGATTTCATCGAATTTGTACAAGATCTTCTGATTTCAACCAAGCCTGTACGATTGTTTTCTCAAAACTGAAAGAGCGTGGGTACTCTAAACGATTTTTACGAAACATAAAAAATTCCACCTTAGCACAGATAGCGAGCTAAAAACAGACT